TTTGTTGATTTGATTCTTGATTAATATTGGACAAAGTTATGATGGGTGCATGCAAATTTGAAAATAATAGAGTTACTTTTATCAAGACAAAAAGAAAGAACCATGCTTCCATTGATTTACTGGATTTTTACTTCATTTATAAAAATAATAATATTGGCAGTAATAAGAAAATTTGCAATTCTTCAATGAGAGAAAGAGAGTATATTGAATTCACCTTTGCGAATTATGATTGGTTGAAGTGCAAAAGCTATCGGCTATTTAAAGAGGGTGCATATTCCATGTGGATCATTCTCCAGTCTGATTCCGTAAAGAACGCAGCACCGTAGATACCAGTGAAAATCATCAGCCCTCCGATCATCCGACCGACGAGCCAGCGAGCCCTCTTGTCGTTCGACGGTTACCAAGGGAACAAGCAAACCGGCAAGCGAGACTGATCGCCTACTACGATCGAGAATGTGATTTAGAAGTGAAACCCCGAAAAGTCCATCCTCGAAAAAGATCCAGTTTTGCTGTCGTTAAATACAACAATAAAAAGTTCCAAATCTGCTTGAAAACGGTAAGTTATTTGTCTTTCATATCCAGTAGAAATACTTTTTTTTTATTTTGATTTGTTTGATTTGTAGAAATGGCGGACGTTTGGCAATATTTTACGAAGCTTTCCGCTGATGGTGAAAAAACACAATGTTCCAAATGCCCACAGCAACTTTCCTGCAAGGGATCATCCACCAGTGGATTATTACGCCACTTGCAAAATAAGCACAAAATTACCCTAAAGCGACCGACATCTGAAGATCATCAACCAACATCTGCACCAACCCCAAGTAAAGTATCGAGACCTGGAGGATCCATCATAGTGATGCAATTCATTAAACGTCAGTCTTTGGAAGAGATTGTAGCACGGCTTGCTGCACTTGACGGGTTTTCAATCCACGCTATAGCGTGAGTTTATCCGCCAGTCAATTTCCGCTCGTGGCATGCAACTCCCAAAATCAAACACAGCTGTGATGAAACTGGTACACGATTTTTGGAATAAAGCAAAAGATCTCACCAAGAACGAAATTGCAAAGCGAGTAGGAGGGGGTGAATGTATGAGCCTCACTTTGGATGAGTGGACCAGCATCAGTAATAAACGGTTTATCAATGTCAATGTGCACTGCTTCGACGGGGTCATGTTCAATCTCGGGCTGGTTCGTGCTCATGGGTCTCTTCCGGCTGAAAAAATCCGAGAGGCTGTAAACATCGTTACCTCAAGTTTTGGCTTACCACGGACAAATATTGCTGCTGCTACAACTGACGGAGCTGCCGTAATGGTAAAGTTTGGAAGGGAGTCAGAGTTCTGTCACCAACTGTGCTACAACCATGGGCTTCATTTAGCGGTGATGGATGTCCTCCGGAAAGACAGCTCTGCTATGACTGATTCCACAGACGATACCGATGATGACTGCAATTATGACGAATACTCCGATGAAGAAACTGACACACTATCTGGTAGGGGAATTTACATATTCTCGTCAATCTAAGCAGCGTCCGAACTTCTATTAGCGATTTCTCAGCGTCACACTCATACATGACAGGTTTGTTTGTTGACATTTATCTGCTGCTTGCTGTTCTACCAATTCCAATCGACAGAATTGATCAAAACGGGTTGAACATGTTTTTACAACGCTCCAAACTTCTCAGGTGAGTGTGACTATTGTCGGCAGTCTCTTTTTCTTCGGCACCCTTTCCATTTGAACTGCGTGTTAACCAGCTGTTCTATTATCGGCAACTCGAAATCAGCCGTATTTTGTAGTGTGTATATTTCATTTAAATAAAAATATGGCAGAACAGGATTGCACAGTCGTAAAAATGTAATCAGATTGAAGCTGAAAAGGTAAGGAATCGGCTTAATACATTCAGCGAAGAGTTTTAATGGGAAATACAGTGAAATTAACGTTTCAATTTCGTTTGCCGAAAACAGTCAATGGGTGCCGAAGCCATAATTTACCCTATGTTATTTTTATTAATGTATTTTACTTGAAAATTAGTTGTACTTTTAATTTTTAGCGCTTTATCGTACGCGTTTTGCTGAAATTCTGAGGCATGTCCGAAAAATTGTCAAGATTTTTCGGCAATCGCCGGTGAAAAATGGGATCTTGCAAGATAAGATAATCGCTGCTCATACAAAACCGCTGCAATTGATAATTGACGTCACGACTAGGTGGAACAGCACTGAACAGATGGTCGAACGATTCCTACGTGTCTATGAAAGCATCAAGGAGACACTAACCGAGCTTGGACAGCGCAATCCACTGTCTGACAATGACGTGCATAGTCTTCAGATACTTTTTGAGGCATTGCAACCAATTAGATTGGTATCTGAAGCAATAGGCAGACGAGATGCGACTCTGCTAACTGCTGAAGGGAGTTTGAGTTTTTTACTTTCGAAACTAAAGCAGCAGAACAACGCAATTGCAAACGAGTTGCATGACGCCATTTACGACAGGATTTGTTCGCGACGAAATAAGGAACTGGTCTCATTAATGAAGTTTTTAAAAACTAAACACATGGGCTCAACCAGCGAAATGCCAACGTGCTCCAGATCGCAGTTGATGAAATTTATGAAGGAATCTGATTGGTTGCTTAAGATGGTAGAACATGGGACAGAGACAGGAGAATCATCTAACTCTACCAATTCATCGATGGACCGGGAGAACCTAACTCTCCAGCAAGAACTAGAATGTGCTATTAAGGAACATTCTGACCTACACAACGCATCAACTGATTCAGTAGACCGTGGAAAAATTATCCAAAAGGAGGTGATGCTGTATGAGCTAAGCGGAAAATTGTCTAACAACTTGCAAAAACTGTTAGACAACTTAACATCCATTAAGCCTACCTCTACCGACAGCGAGCGAGTTTTCTCGGATTCATCAAATTTTGGTAACAAGAAGCGTTCCTCTTTGTCTGATGCTAGCATGAATGTGCTTTCATTTTTGAAGTCATATTTCAAAAGAATTGATCAGTAGAAATGTAAGATTTCGCAGAAATGCATAAAATAAAATGGATAAATAAAAATGTGAGAAGAGGTTTTTGAAATTTGCAGTTGTTTATTTATCCCGGGATCCCGGGATTTCCCGGGAAAAAAATTTTGATATCCCGAATCCCGGGATGCTGAGAACCGTCGGGATATGGAAGCTCTACCCTCATTCTATACAACATACAGCTCACCAGTATCATCTGTGTTTAACACCCTTATTGCTCAGCATTACTCAACCATCGATATAAGACTTTATCATTTTTCAAAATGTCACTATGGAAAATTCCACGAATGTGCAACTGTTGCTATGATAGTTAAAATTATCACCGATTGCCTGCAGAAATCGATTTCCCGAACACAGATTTCAAAGTTTAATTCCAACCTGTCTGACCAAACGGTGTTTATTCAATCACCGCTTAAGTTGTGGTGTTCTCCAGTACACAATAAACGGCTGCTTTCAAGCAGCGAGCTGCAGCCCACATGAGCATAAATAGAAGGAGGCAGAAGGCACACCGCTATTGATCGGAATCAGTAGCTCTTCGTGAGTTGCTGTGGGCCATCTATGTCAATTTCGTTATACTAAAGAGTATAAATAGAGAGAACCCCGCTCAAGTTCCGATTCCTACACAAAATACAAGCTCCTGCTGCACAATTAAGAGTTATTATATAAGACCACGTAGTCCTCCGTCACCATTGCGTACAACCCCATAGAGCTGTCCCTTGTAGTTTTTAAATTTACTTTATGAAGGGGAAATGGATGTAATGTTGGCCTAAATGCTCCTTATTTGGGCCCATGCATAAATTCAGTAATCGACTAAATTTTCAATAGCGACCGAAAATATCCAGTAGTACCGTCCCAATGACGCGTTCATCTCGATAAAATTCAAAGTGTTATTTATGTTACTTCATACGCGAAGTCTGCGATTTTCAGAGTTGGTTGGAAATCCTATCTAACATGTAGCTTTAGTGTGATAATTTGATAGCTAAAGAATGATCTTATAAGAGGGTAGGTGGATAGTTCCGTTAGAGTATGGCAGTATGAAAATGGAATAAAAGTTAACAATGAGCGAAGGGCCATTAATGCGACATACTTCAAATCTCCGCGTACATCGTACGGGTTAGGCAAAAGGTGTGCGTTTGACTTTGTACTGTCGCATTAATGGCTCTTCGCTCATTTTCAACTTCTATTCAATTTTCATACTGCCGTACTTTAACGGAACTATCCACCTACCCACTTCTAAGATCATTCTCCAGCTAATAAATTATCACACTAAAGCTTCATGTAACATAGCATTTCCAACCAACTCTAGATAATTGATATATAGCAGATTTTGAACGATGAGTCCAATCTTAGATCCATAAGCCAACATTAGAGCCGTTTCCCCTATATGAATTTCTCACAAATGGTTTAATTTAGACACTTTAGAACTTTAGATGGCGCACAAGCAACCAAATTAACCATTTTTAAATGTTTATTAAATGAGTTAGACAAAACAGGCGCCGGTAGTTCTTACACTATAAATGAATGTAATCACAATCTATCAAATGCAACTAATATCATACCAGTCCACTTGCTTTTAAGGTAATAATATTTGAAAATAGAATATTTTTCAACAAAAAATCTTTTTTAACTAAAAGTGTCTGAAATAAACAATTTGCCAGAAATCAATGTATAAAGTGTAAGATGTAAAAACCTGATTTCTTAAGGGTCACCTTAAATTACCTTTTAAAACCAGTAAAAATCGAGAAACAATAGAGATATGTATTGTATCTTGAGCACAGTTGCTTCAAATAAATTGTTCTTCAACTGTGTAAAATATTGAGCTGGTCTATCTCAAATAACTCCGTATATTCTCCACTTCCCATTTTCTCGGCCACACCAAACTGATGATCTTCTTGTTCTTAAGATACAATTATAAAAATGCTAAGGTAAATGTTCCGATATTTGCACCTATTTACCAATTACTACTACAAAACTCACCATTTGTATATCCAGCGCAAAACATGCCATCGTAAAGAGTCCTGTCGAACAAATCCGGATTGCTTTCCAAGCACTTGGTGTAGCTGATCAGTGGCACCGTAGTAGCCTTCAGGGCATCCGACAGAGCATCAAACTCCGTGTAACCCCATCCAACTACGACGCCTTCATCCGACCCATCACCGGAGCTCGGCTGTGGCTGAGGAAACACACAAATGGGCTGCACGTAATCCGTGAATCTCACTTGGGTAGCCAATTTCAATATCGCTATGTCAAATTTACTCGTTGTCGACTGAAAGTTTGTATGGGTAATGACCTGCTGCACGGCGTGCTCTTGAACCGAGTCCCCATACAAGTTCAATTTGAACTTTCCCAGCTGCACGTACAAACTGGCCGGAGATAGCACCTGCCTAGTGCTGGGATCTACCACACAGTGCGCCGCAGTGACGATGCTCAACTCGTTTACCAGTGATCCACCACAGATGTAGGACTTTTGAAAGCCCGAAAGCATGAACAGCGCTGCATGCCACGGAAATTCACCCGGATTTGTCGTGTATCCGTGGGTGACCAACTGTTGAAGATTTATCTTTCTCTTTCCACAGGCAGCACTGATACCATCGTTTTTGGACGGGCACACAGCAATGATACAAATCAGAACAATTACAAATGAACTGCAACGCAACAAACTGTTCACACCCGTTGCCATTCTTACTGCGACTGGAAACCAGTTGGATTGGAATGGTTTTGGGTATATCGGACAGAGGTAGTCACCAAAGAAGACGTGTTAAACCAGTTTTTCAGTGAGTTGCGGTGCAAATAATCAGGAAAAAAGCAGCATCACGTCATCTAATCAAATTGCGTGGTTCCAATGAAGCAAAAAACGTCGTTTTGATGTTCGATACTTTGCGCTTTGGAAAAAAAAATATTATACGGTTACGAACGACTTCGAACCCTCTATACCCAATTCCAAGCACAGGGGATTTCTTAAAAAACATTAATCGAAAACCTATCCAAAAGCTGCTTTAAAATGTACTGCGATTGATAAATTTGGTGTTTCGCTTCGATGCGTTGTTCTGTGGTTTCTGCTTTAGATATTCCCACAAGAAAGTAGGATGATATGGAATTATTCCAAGAACCTTCAGATGATCACAGAATTCCACAATGAACTCTGGATATTTTGTCAAGCCTTGAGGTTTATCAGGCATTATGCTGAAGATGCAGGTATATTCGGAATTATTCCAAAGGTCTTCAGTTGGACAAATACATGCATAATGTTTTTTAACTGATGGCTCGTTCATCACATCAAAATGGAATAATCGTCGCTAGATATTTTGGCGATATTTCTTGTTAATTAGTTACTAATCTAAACATCTATAGTTGATCAATAAATAAAACCATGTCTCTTAGATATTCTAGGAAGAAGGAAGGTTTATCAGGATTTTTTCAAAAACCTTCAGATGATCATTATAGTGGGTCAACTTTACAACCCTCTGTTCCCCACTGCTCTTTCAATGCGTATTGCAGTGCTGATAAAAATCATTTCATCTACACTCAACATAGCTGCAAATGAAGGCAACATTAACAGATGGACCAACTACCGGCATGAATTTGAATTTTGACATACAAACACTCTTTTGATCAAGGCAACCTATGATTATCGCAGTCATAATTTGTTTTTATTCATTCGTGGCTGGATGTTCATTATCGCCTGTGCTGTTGTCAATATTAATATTCGTCTTCATCTGGGTGGGGATGATTTAGAGGATCAAATCTCAATTTCTTTTTCAAAGGGACGTATTAGTTTTTGTAAACAATGTATTTTAAAAGTCAGTTTGGTGTAACTGGTAGTTCACCCACGCATACTAACACCACTATAAGTAGGGATTTTTTTTCCGCTATCTGATGGTAGTATTTGTGACTATGGCATGACCAGACACTCTCGGGTAACTAACTCAGTAGCATGAGATCCCTGAACTGTGTCGCAGGGCCGGCATGTTACTGGGTATTCGAAGGGGCTACGCGGACAAATTATGAAACATAGGAATATTCACATTTTCTAACACATTTATTTGCCCTATTCTGTGGCGTGTGGGTGTGGGTTTTCACATATATGCTGCGTGTATGCGAGGGTTTAAAATTTAGTACTCACTGCTGCAGCGGGATCTCTTACGGCGTCGCAACGCTGGCGTTGGCCCACACGGCTGCTCCTGCACTACCGTGTGGCCGGAAACTTGCGGCGCGGGCTGCAGACAGTGTTGTTGCAGCTCTGGGAGAATTGGCGTTGACGGCGACTCTGTAGCTCTTTACTCCTATGAGAAAATCCATAAGCAAACGTCAGACTGTGCGTGAAACATGGCGGACTTTGTACTATCCTTTCACTCCACCGAAAATTCCCATAAGAAACTATCTAAATTTGCTGGAAGAGCAAATTTTTCGACGGTGCCGTCAACGCCAATGGCGGATCTAGTGGCGTTCATCAGCCACATACGGCTCAGCAGGCGTTGCTGGCTCGTTTGGCTGGCAGGCGTCTTCCGTCGTTGACGGCAACGGCTGACCGTGGCATGGCCACCTTGGTCGAGCCGAGACGGGACCCTCCTTGGTAATTAAGGCCACCGGCCTGAGGGAATCGTCCTTGACGGACGATTGAGGATCATTTACTATTAGGCTCGGAAGCCATCTTGACTTCCGAGCCGAGCCGTGTAAAGGGTGATACGGTCAAAATTTGGTCAAGGGAAAACGCGTGTAAATCGGTGAAATCGTTTATTTAAAAAATCAAATTTAATTTCTTTTTCAAGTTCAATTAGTATAAAATTCAGGAAAAATATTCAGTTAGGCTTCCGCTTGACCCCTGCCATCAGATTTTGTACAGCCACCTTGTCCACCTTCTTCGCCGCAGAAAGCCAGTTTGCCTTGAACTGCTGCTCGCCCTTAGCAGTTTTTTTTGTCTTCTTTAGGTTCCGCTTGACAATAGCCCAGTATTTCTCAATTGGGCGGAGCTCTGGCGTGTTGGGAGGGTTCTTGTCCTTGGGAACCACCTGCACGTTGTTGGCGGCGTACCACTCCATGGCCTTTTTACCGTAATGGCAAGATGCCAAATCCGGCCAAAACAGTACGGAACAACCGTGTTCCTTCAGGAAAGGCAGCAGACGTTTATTCAAACACTCTTTCACGTAAATTTGACAGTCCCGGAAGCTATGAAAATGCTGCTTTTCAAGCCACAGGTACAGATGGCTTGCCAAACCAGATATTTCTTTGCGAACTTTGACAGTTTCATGTGCTTGAAAACATCTGCTACCTTTCCCCTTCCTTTTGCCGTATAAAACTCCTGTCCCGGAAGCTGCTTGTAGTCGGCTTTGACGTAGGTTTCGTCGTCCATTACCACGCAGTCAAACTTCGTCAGCATCGTCGTGTACAGCCTCCGGGATCGCGCTTTGGCCGTCGTATTTTGTTTATCATCGCGATTTGGAGTCACTACCTTCTTGTAAGTCGATAGTCCGGCTCGTTTTTTGGCTCGATGCACGGTTGTAGACGATACACCCAGCTTATTTGCGGCATCTCAGAGAGAGAGGTTAGGGTTTCGCTTGAAACTACCGGCAACTCTCTTTGTCGTCTCAGCGGCTTCCGGTTTTCGATTTCCCCCCGATCCAGACTTCCTGGCTGTCGACAAACGTTCCCCAAACACTTTAATTACATTTGTAACGGTTGATTTGGCAACTTTTAGCGATTTTGCCAACTTTGCGTGCGAGTAGCTCGGATTTTCGCGATGCGCGAGCAAAATTTTGATACGCTGCTCTTCTTGCTTGGACGGCATTTTGACTACTGAAGAGTGAATTCCAAAATCAAAATAGGAGCAACATTCTACACACACACACACCTTCAAAATGAGGGGTGTTCAGGTTTTTTAAATGCAAAATTGAAAGAAATGCGTCAAGTTGATATTGACCAAATTTTGACCGTATCACCCTTTAAGACCTTTTTATTTACGGTACGAGGTGTACAAAATGTACAAAAGCACAAGAGGTCCTGATAATTATTACAATTCAGTCAGGGAAATTTCCGTCAGGATAATAAAAATCAATTACCTGAACGGAGGTAGGCTTTCCAGCCCAAACCCCACGGGGGGGGGTTGTATTATATATGCACTACACTTCACACTCAACTAGTCTACACGGACGCCTGGTTACTTCTGCCTAATCTTTCAAATCTAAGATGGCTAGCTATTCATCATCCAATTTGCGCATCCATTGTTATTTTAAAGCCAAGATTTTCCGCCCTTCAGTAACGTTACGTTGTTGTTTGCAGCGGCACAAACCCTCTCGCTCTTGTGTGTGTGTGTTTGTGTCTACTGTTTTAAGTTTAATTAAACTTGAATTTTCCTAACAACAACAACTCATACAAACGAAAGTCCACGGATTGTAACCAACTGATTACATATTAGAAAGCGTGGGCAACCTAGAATTCTCGCCAAATCGACGATCAAATGCATTGTTTATAAAAGCTGTGATCGCACACGGGCAGAACTTTTCCTACGTTGTGTTTACGAATGTATGAATAAAAGACAGTGGTTTTGACCGTCCTGCCATGGCGGAGGCAGATGAACTACTATCTTTATTGATAGTGTATAGGGATACAGTATAACAGTTGGCATTTTATTGGGTTTTGCGAGAATTCTGAGCTTTGGCAGTATTTAAACTTTGAGAGTTTTTGCTGGTCTAGCTGCGATATGGCACTAGCTTCGAAGACGCTTAGATACGATGGAAAATTTGTTGCTGTGTATGAATCACTACCAGGAAGATAGGGTTCGGTGGAATAATCGTTTAAACGAAACTTTTGGACAGTTTCAGTCCCTTCGCTTGAAACTGGACTTGATTGATGATGATGATGAAGATGAAGATAAAGGGCGAACACGAAATTATTGCGACACCGAAAATGTCATGCCAATTTTCTTATAATGTTTAGAATCAAACCAAAATTTTAGGGTAATTTTATACATAAATTTACTTTAAAAATCAAAAGAAAAGTTAATCGATGGAGCCTTGAGTGTAAAATTGAATGCATTTTCGCTTGATGCCCTCCATCAAAGTCTTTACAGTGTCATCCGGTACCAGTTCCTCAGTTTTTTTTTTCCATTTTCTTAACATGTCCTTCTCGTCTTTGACTGTCTTCTTGCTCTTCCGAAATTCCCGCTTCATTATTGCCCAGTACTGCTCCACCGGGCGCAGCTCCGGACAGTTTGGCGGATTCATGTTCTTTGGAACAAAATGGACAGAATTGGCCTCATACCACTCCAGGACACTTTTAGAATAGTGGCATGATGCCAAATCTGGCCAAAATAGCGGAGCTTCGTCGTGCTGCTGCAAGAACGGCAAAAGGCGCTTCTCGAGGCACTCAGATTTGTAGATCTCGCCATTTACTGTGCCCTTTGTCACGAAAGGCTCACTCCTCAGTCCGCAAGAGCAGATGGCCTGCCAAATGAGATATTTGGAGGCGAACTTCGACATTTTCTTCTTCTTAAATTTGTCGTCCACATCGAACTTGCTCTTTCCGGTGAAAAACTCCAACCCCGGAATTTGCTTAAAATCGGCTTTTATATACGTTTCGTCGTCCATCACACAGCAGCCATATTTTGTCAACATCTTCTCGTAGAGCTTCCGTGCCCGAGTTTTAGCTGTCGATTGTTGCCGCTCATCGCGGTTTGGGAAGTTCTGTACCTTGTATGTATGTAGTCCA